TTTTTTAAAATATAGGGCTAGTATTTATTAAAGAATTTTCTTTAAAGAAATTTCTAGAATAATACTGTACCTATAGATGTGTACAAATGTTTGAAAAAAATACTCATCGGTTAAGATGAATTTTGATATAGATCTAAGTCATTGTGTAAAAGTAGGAGAATCTAGATCTAGGTGTTCCGATAGTTCAGTAGCCTAGATTATTTGATAATAAGTTGCGCATCAAATTTTTGACCGCATGCTACGGTAGTAGAGATAGCGTATTATTTTCATCCGAAACATTAATTTCCGCATCCATACACCTTTTTGGGCCTTTATAAGCACATGTTACTTACTTGTTACATCTTACTTTAATTATGTTACTTTCGTAATTGTTTTTGAAAGCATTTTCAATTCCTTTCACTTTCACTTCCCACACGCGGGCACATATAATTATGATTATAATTTAATAATCCAAATCTGACGAATGTATTATTAAATAGCGTATAATGCTGAGTTAGCCAATGCATTGCAATGCGCGCTATTATCAATTATTGAATTGTAACAAGACTTCAATTTGATCCGTAACAAGAGACCACTTATTTTTTCTTATTCGTGTTCAAAAATATGTGTTTGTTTACTGTGTGCAGGGATTACAGGGGGACAAGCCCATCCCCTCGACATGTGATCCAGGGTATGGGGATACATTTTTCTCAAAATGCACACAGCTCTGAAATCCTTGACCAGTGATCACTCGCCATGGAACTCTTTCTGTTGTGACTGTAGACACAAGTTTCTTCATTATCACATCTGAATGAGCCTATCATTCATGCATTAGAAATCACACTCCCAACACACAGAAATGACTTTGAACATATGTTCAGAAAACATATGCCAGTTCCACTCTTGTTTACTTTGTTTTGCATTATTGGCTTTTATGTGTAAACCAATATTTTGAGGCCTTTTCTGCATTTTTGTGTTTTTGGCAGCATGTACAATAGGCCTATGTATTTTATGTGCAACCGACACATTCTCCAATCTCTTGTATTTGTTAGACTCGCACGTGCTTTAAACAAAGCATGTTGTTGTACACACTACTGATGCAAACACAGAGATAAATTCTTAAAGTAAGAAATAATACATTTCCTCAATATAAGCTCAATTTATTTATCTCTTTCTAGAATCTAGTAAATTGGAGAAAAGGCTTATATTGTTCTTTTTTGCTTGCTTTGGATGGCCTTAAGTTTAATGACAACATTATTGTAATGAGCATGTCACTGTTAGCGTCCCTTTATCGTAGATCTAGTACTAATCAAGACTATATCTAGATATTTTGTCAACATAATTAATGTTCATAATTAGTGTTATTATCAAGTGTATTGTGATTGTGAAGATCTTTAGTAGATTTTAAAAAACAACAAACCAACAATACAAATACAAAAACATTGTTACATTGCCAATTATGACATATTGTTGGCAATAAAAATGTACTAGACTATTTCACAATATTTCCTCTTCGAAGAAAGTTTTAAAATACTGATGTAAGGTGTCTTCCAAGCCCTACCACTAGCATCAGCGTGCATAGCAACCCGAAGCCTCGCTGTGCGGCACAGCCAAAGGTGCCCTCAACTGGCTGCCATGTTTTAGTTTCAATTCCTCACAGCGAATCGGCGATCGCGAAGAGGGAGTTCCGCTACTATAAGTGTAGAATAAGAATTCTGTGGCGCAGATCGACTCCTGTTCATCAGCAGTTCGGGTTCGTTCAGTGCGGAGTTTTAGTTTTTTTGTTTTTTTAATGACCTCTCGCCTTTCATTCTAAAGTCAAATTAAACGAAGAAAACAATCACCCTTTCCTCCGGAAGAGGTTTTTTTGTCAGCGTAACCATTTTAAAAAAGCGTTCTTCCGAAATTCATTCAAAAACTTGCTAGTTTCACTTTGATTTTTTAAAAACTCAAGTAGGATAATATTCTTCCCATCTCTGTATTATTTCTTTCTCTTCGTGTAGAGCTGCTCCACTAGTATCGTTGATGACAGTGGTGGGTACATAGGGTTTGTCTCTCACTCTCATTGTCTTCACCTTCTTGTAGAACTCTCTTTGTGAGGTCTTGCAGGTTTCACTTAGTTTTTTGCCATACTGGGGCCATGACTTTTCTTTTGATGTTATAACGACTTTCTTGTTGTGTCTTCTTGCAAGTCTATATTTAATGTAGTCCTCTTCGGGGTTTTTTACTTGACCCATACATTATACAGTCTCTTTTTTTCCTAGATAGCTTCCTTAACTTCTTCGTTCCACCAGGCTGTTGCTTTTCTGTGTTTTCCTCTTGTTTTCTTGATACCACAGACTTTTTTCACTGTGTTCAGGAGAGTTGTTTTGAAGGCACAGATATATTATTAAATAGTAATGTAGAGTTGATAGAGCGTAGTTTTTCATTTAGCCTTTTTTCTGATCTAAGCCTGCACCTGATCATCTCCAAGTTTGTGCATATTTAGTCTCTCTTGCTGTCTTTTATAGTTTTTCGGTTTTCTTTCTTTCTTGGTGGTCAACGTCTTTCAGAAATGAAGTCTGTATTCGATATTTCCTTTGCTTTGCCAGGATGTATGATGAAACCCATACCGTGTTCAGCTCTTTGTTCTTTTCTTACCCCACTCCAAATGAGGACAAAGTTAGAGTGGATCTCTTTTGTACCTGTCCCTTTTTTTCCTGATGTCTGTAATGCCCATGATGGAGATCTTGTTCTGGGTGAACTCCACTATCTCAGGTTCTTTGTTTGTCAAGCAGCAAATGTTCCAAAAACTCTATGAGAAAAGAAATATTATTTAAAGATTACAGGGATGGAGGGATTTGATTTTTGATTTATTTTTTTTTAAGGAAAAAGAAAAACAAACAAATCATTTCATGACTTTCCTTACAAAATCTTTTAAATTGGTGCATTTAAAATTTATAGGTGGTTTTTATAAAAAGTCATTTCTGTTTTCAAAAATAAGTTTCTTCTTTGTGAATTTTAAGTCAAACAAATTCATTTTAAATGAATTATATCTGTTCCAAATTACAACGTTCTAGTAAAAATTTTGAACGAGATAGTTAGAAAATAAATGGTGTGGTTATTTTTTAATCACCCTGGACAATTGGCGTTACGTACAAGACCTCCATTTGTGTGGGGCATGCAGGTTTTCCTTTTTCTCAACCAAAGTCTTACACTGGTCACATGGTACTTAATGGGGCAGCTAAGTGTAAAATCATTCACATTGCCCTACAAGCACCAAAATTGGCATGCATATATTACTTTTGGGCTGCTGTTTCATAAAAAAGAACGTTTATCGCGTAAAAATCCAATATGGCGGCCATTTTCCAAGATGGCGGCCATTTGCGGGCTCTTTGGTATTTAATAATATATGTGTGCCTCTGTGGTTCATTCACATTGTGATACAAGCACAAACATTGGCATGCACATTACTTTTGGGTTATTTCATAAAAGATTGCCAGCCACGTGAAAATCTAAAATGGTGGCCATTTTCCAAGATGGTGGCCATTCGCAGACTCTCTGGCGCATCTATGATTCTTCTTATCCTGGAGTCACTTTCCTAAGCAAGTACCTACTGATGTATGTGATAACATTTACTGTCACCTTTAACAGTTTCCTTTACCAGAATCAAAAGGGCTTGATTTATTTGTATCCAACCTTAAATGCAAGGTAGAGTTTTTGATTTTTTAATTTTTATATATATTTTTTTTAAATTTTTAGGGGGGGGGTGTTTTTGCTTTATTTTTTCATTTCGAGTTACTTCAAGCAACAAATATTGTCTTTTAAGAGGAGTAATGCGGGATGAAGTTGGTTAAATACAGTGCTTGTAAATTGCAGATGACTTGCTTCTATTTATATTAATTTAAGAAACTGTCCAACCTATCTGTGAAAAGAGATGTGGCCATGTGCTCAGACATAAACGGGGGCTCTCGTGGCCTAAAGGTTAAGGTGTTGGCCTCTCACTCAAAAGGTCCCGGGTTCGAATCCGGGTAGCAACCGAAAAATTTTCTTCTCTAAATTTGTCTCCTTTCACCTCCTTTCCTGCTCTCTAGCAATGTTCTGTTGTCTGCGTTCAATTCCATTTTCTGCCTCCTCCCCCTCACCTCCTTTGCCCCCTCCTCTGGGCTCCTGACTCTTTCTGCCGCCTTTCTACTGCTACTCCTTGGCTTCTCCTTACTGCTGTCTTTCTGCCACACCCCTGATCTTCTGGTAGGAAAGATCTACACCTAGCCTTCTCGCACGTTAAAGATCCGTTGGTGGTCTAAAATCGATAAGAGTAGGCTTCGGCCGCCACCCGGGCAAAAATTCAAAATTTCCTACCAACTGAAAATATTAAGTGTGTCCCGTGCGCTCATATGACCTATGCAGTTGCGAGCGCCGTAAAACACTTTACAAAAACAACAAAAAAAGACATAAACGTTTACTTGACAAGGGAATGCTGTCCCAGCAACGTCTATGTGACTCAGAACTTGAGCTACAAAAGCTGCAAAAAACAGTATCTTTCAAGTCATAGTATATTATTTTTTTGGTGTACGCACGCATCCACTTCATCAGTTCTACAGTAGGCCTATTGGTACGATAGACAACCCAAGCAACAAGATGGCTTCCAACAAAAACAAAAGGAAATGCCTCTCACTCGAATTAAAGACCGAGATAATCAACGAAGTTGACAAGAAAAGGAAGACTAATCTAAAGCTCAAATTCTATTGATATGGAATGGAGGAACTCATGTCGGTGTTAAGAAATATTTCGGTAATTCGCCTTTGCATTCCTATAGCGGGAACTTGCCTACAGACAGATTTTTATACTGGAACCAAAAGTCCCTCAATAGCAATATTCTACTGTAATGAGTAGATCTAAGGATCTAAGTTCTCTTCGTTCAAAAATTAAACACCGTCATACTGCAGGCCTCGCGAAACATGTACATCCAGCTGTATGCTCTTTCCCAGATTGGTGGTTGGTGCGTTTGACTGTAAATCACTTTCTTTTTCCCCACCCAGGTGATCCATTCCAAAGAGTTCAAGGACTGTCGAGGATTCGAGGGCAAAAAAGTGATGGTCGTGGGGATCGGGAACTCAGGTGGGGACTGTGCTTCTGAACTGGCCAAATACTCATGGGTGAGTTGTTGTGTCCAATCAGGGACCGGATTATTCATTGATAGGACTATGTTTTGTTTCCAATCAAAAACCACGTTATTTATGGGCTGTTCAAATATAATCTTACACCTTTTGGAGGACTCCCACCCCCTTCTAACACTTTTCTTACATTGCCCCCCCCCCCCCCCCCCCCACCCCAATCCCGTAAAATTACATTGTTGGCTTATAATAATATGCCATTTTTGCCCAAATCTGTGTTACAATCATTGTTTCTATACACTTTATTAAAAACATTAATACGCACATATACAAGCACATAATTGTTTTAAATCTCAGTTCTACATTCACAAAAAATAACGGAGTAAATCATTCAAGCAAAACATTGTTTACACTCATTCTTTCTAATATTATAAGGAAAAAATTGGGACTTTTGTCAATTTAAAAAATGCCTTAATTACAAATAAAGCAAATTACAGTGGAATTCTTCCTTCTCTTCTTTCTCTTCTTCCTTCCCCTACAATTTTCCTCCGTCCTGTGTAAAGCCCTGTACCTCTTCGATGCTGCAATACTTGGAACATATTTGCCTCATCCCTTGTGGCCTCTGCACACTCTTCTTTGGCCTATGCAGCCTTTCTTTACCAAGGCCACCCTTTTTGTCCTTGCTATTTTTTTCACCTCCCAAACGTGCAATATTACATTGGTTCAAGACCCCTCCCCCGTTCTTACACTTTCTTTTTAAAAGAGCCAAACACCCCCCCCCCCCCCCCCTTTCCAGGTGTAAGATTATATTTGAACAGCCCCTTATGGATATTTTTCTTTGTCCGATCAGAGATCTAGCAATGTAAACGAGACTGTACAGCTTGCAGCGCTGTCCGAGACAACCAGTGCTTCACGCAGCGTAAGCGAAGAGAGCTGTTCTATTTATAGCCTGCGCCGGTAAACATACTCGGGTTAGGCCCGTTATTGTTCTAGACTGTGTAAACGAAACCAAGTTGGTAGTGCACTCTGAGGTTCAATTTTTTTATTAAACAAAAAGGGGGGGGGCTGATAATTTTTAAAAAAAGGGGGGGGGGGGGAGCACACTTACCAGGTAGTAATAAAAGGGGGGGAAAGGACTTCCTTAACGAGCGATCACTCCAACAACACAATAAAGAAGAGACCTAGATTTAACCCTTACCCTAGATCTACCCCTAGATTTACCCCTACTCTATCTTATAGTGGTTGCTCGTTACTGGGAGGGGGGGGGGCATTTGCCGATTAATAATAGAAGCAGTTCACATACATTTTGGAGGGTTGCGAAAGAGTACTTGTGCTGATTATTTTTTACACTTGCTTAATGCGAGGAATAGTATAATATAAATCAATTACAAAGAGAGATATAGATGTAATTTTAAATTTTCTTTTCGCAAGTTTTTATAGAGATCCAAGAGAGGGCCTGGTTATAGTTATAGGCTATTTGCTCCTTATCTTTTTGCTCCGGCTTTCTCGGGCGAAAAATTAATAAGAAGAGGAGGGGGGGTTGGGGGGCTTATTTGGAACCTCAGAGTAAACCCCTCGATTTGACAGACTATTTAGGAAGGACGTATGAGCAAGGAGAATTAGAGAAAAGTGGAAAAATAAAGATAAAAAGGAATAAATAAAGAAATAAAGAGAGAGAGAGGGGGGGGGGCTATAATAACAACGATGACGACAACAACACCAGGAGAAAGAGCAGCAACAACAGCAGCAGCACCAATATAGAGAAAGGGGGAGGGAAACAACAACAATAATGATTATGAACAGCCATAACAACATTAAAATTCTAGACAATTCTGGCAGATCAAGTACAAGTAGCTTCATAAATTATTCAAAAACAACAACGAAGAAAACGAGAAAAAGAGAACGAGAGAGAGAACAATGGAGAGAGAAAGAAAAAGTAAGAGGGATTTATATACAACTCACCACGTATATTTCCAGATGCAAGTGTACTGCTAAATCCAATTTGCTTTGTTTTACAAATGTTGAAATATTCCCGCATTCCTCTGCTTGTTTTGGTGAACTTGTGGAAAGCCCTTCACTTTGTAATGAAGTCTGACATTTGTATACAAAAAGAAGTGCCAAAGAATCTAAATCTTGATCTAGATCTTGACCGGGAGATGAGCACTGAATTAGATTTCTAGATAGATCTAAACCAAAGACTCTATCTCCACATGCGAGGAAGCCTAGATCCAAAACCTAGATTTACAATAGATCTATCTATATCTAGAATCTAGATCTGTATCTATATATAGATCTAGATCTATTTAAAACACAAATTACAATACACACTCTCATTGGACTCTACTTACAGTTTGCGTTCTTAGAATCAGCCGTGTTTGTTTGAGAGTTTACCAGCGCAGTTCCTGTTGTCACGGGATTGGTCAGATTCGTAGTCTGGCCCAAGCTGTACTGCCTCGTTAACATTGCTAGGTTATTTTACTATTACTATCACATTATTATTATTATCATTACTATTATTATTATAATCCAATCAAAGACCCCCATCAATAGGAAAGTTGTTGCGGGTCGGATAAAAAGACCGTGTAGGATAATGCATGTGTAGGATAATGCATGTGTAAAATAATGCATGTGTAAAATAATGCATGTGTAAAATAATGCATGTGTAAAATAATGCATGTGTAA